AACCGCGGCGCATAGCGCCGCGAAATTTGGTACGACTATTTCCTCATCAATTTTACACATGGTGTGCAAGTTTGAACCTCCTACCTTTCAAGGTCAGGTCACCAGGTCACTTTGAATGACCCAACCTCAAGTCACTTTTTTGCAACTTTGTCACCGTGCCAGAGCTACAGTAGATGTCGGAGGCCTTTGAAAGTCGCAGGATGTTATTAGGTCATTAGTAGCTACAATTTGTATATCTCGGAATTTTGATATCGGTGACCTAAGGTCAGGTCAATTTCGCGACCTCCCCATTATAAGTCAATGGGGGAAAAATCAACTCCCTGTTTTTACCACTAAAACGGGTCGGAATGGCCCCATATACCATACATGACTTCATACACGATCAACCTTCACTACCTTGAGGTCTGTTTTGCTGTTGGGCAGCTGTGAGGTCATGTGACGTCATCAAAGGTCACCAAAGGTTTTTGGCCAATAACTCCGTACAGGAACAAGATACAGACGCATGGATGGTCTCATTGTGTTCAGCTCGTCAAGACGCATCGAATGATATACATGATGACCTCGAGGTCACGTGACCTGAGGTCAACCTTTGACCTTGACCTTTCGAGGTCAACATATATATCATTCGATGCGGATTGACGAGAGGATCACGATGCTGCTCTTAGTTTGTTCATATCTGGACTAATTCGAAAGTTATTCGAGAAAAACTCTCTCCATATCTAGCGCCGCCATTTTGACTTTTTCGACCCCTGTGACGTCATCTTTGACCTGACCTCAAAATGACCTTAGTAAAAATTGTAGATCTTGACCGTGCGTATCCGATGCCGTTTACCGCTTGTCGCTATCTTGCTTCGTTCTCGAGATCTCAGGGGGGGGCGGTCATCCCCCCGTCGGTGCGAAGTTGGCGCAGACCCCCGTCGTCGGTGCGCGGGTTAAATTGACATGTTTACTTTTGTAACGTCTATATGCATACCTACAGGGTGCATACCTACATACCTGTAATTACCTTTATTTTCTGATGTTCAACTGCGTTTATTTTTTAGCAGGAGAGCACTTTTATGATCTAACGCTATCCGAAAAATATGGCTATTAAAAACACTTAGGTAGTGTGATGCAATTTACACGACTTTAATGTATCACGACATCGGTAAGCGATGTTGTGAATAACACAAGTCGGTAAGCGAAATGAATAACACAAGTTACGAGTGCATTTCCCAATGTCTTGTGAGCTGGCTTAGCTTTGAGACGTTCCATTAGAGGCCGTCATGGGGTCAGTTTCCCAAGCCGACATCATGTGGACCGGACGTGTCGTCTGCCCGCCGACCGCCGGGGGCACTTTCTGAAGTGTCGCCGCCATGGTAACATGATCCTGAAGTCCGACGAGGATGGGGGGGGGGGGGACTGACCAGAGTCGACCCATTCCGCGGGGCGCGGGATGGAGCACGTGGGTCGAGTGACGACTGTGTCTCACTCCGGCACGATCTTCAAAGTCATCTTCTGGTTGGCCCGGCCCTCTAGTCCTACACCGCCTACGCCCGATTTTAATAAAGTGGCAGTAAAAGGGTGCAGTCAATTCGTTGGCAGTAGGTAAAGATTGGTTTGTCGTGTTGATGTGTAACAACATTTTTGGTATGTCAATACGAAAGCGATACATGTTGATTTTTGGCATTTCCAACTAATTTGTTTAAGTGGCGTCTTGATTTCATGATTTCTAGCTATTTTATAAAGTAATCTGAATTTTCTTATCAATTCCCAAATTTATTCCGCTATTATTTTTCCACGGTATGGACTTTCGAACACTTTGCAACGGACACTAATGGCACATTGTCACAGCCCCTAGCCACACTGTTTGGTTCTGTCACGATGGTCTCGGCCGGCCCATGCTATCCAGTCGGCCACAGGTCGTGTTGTCCAGTCTGCACGTTCCGCGTAGAGCGATATCAATGCCGGTGATCAGGTGCCGTTCGACAGCCGTGTATGTGCGGCACACGCCACTTTTCCATCAGCACACGCTGAGTGATTACTCGGGCCGGCAGCCGCGGGGCAAGTGACGCATATGGGGCTAATGCGGACCATTTAGCCTGCGTCGTACACAAACAATGAGCCGTGCTTTGCATTTATGCCCTCGTGAATGTGCATTGAGTTGTACAGGGGCAATGCTTTTAAAATTGACAATACGCTCATTAAATGTGTATGTTGAGACAGTAGTGTGACTGTCAAAGCGTGAGGAACGATGATTAGAGGTCGTCAATGCCCCTGCTATTTTTGTTTCCTGTTTTGCTTGTAACAACATGGTAAAGTCAATAGATTTTTTTTTGTGCTCTTGGCTCGGTAAAGTAAAATAAAATAATCATTCAGCCGAATCAACAGGATGCACCACACATAAGGCTTAAAACATTTTGCATGTTACCGATGTTGACGTTACTTCGCCGTTTCAATAAACTCACAATATTCCTACATCGCACATTTATTTAGGGTAGACCGGGGCAAGGCGCACCCCTTAACGTTTGACTCGTGATAGGGTATAAATGAGGGGACAACGAAGGACAGCTTAGCGCTTATGTCAACCACTGCACATTTGTCTTCATAGCCCCACGGACAAAATTCATGACTCACTCACTGGTAACGTGTCAAAAAGAAGAAAGTGATAGAAGTCAAAATGGGCGTTTTGCCCCGTTACCGGGGCAAGGCGCCCTCTTCCGAGGGGCAAAGCGCACCACATGAAGTAATTAGCATAACAAGCATTCCTGGGTGAAAACAAGCCTCTGTTGCAGCTTTAGCACTGCGGTACGCATCTGAAAATTGTTGCTCGTGACTGTAATCAAGTTAACGCTAGCCATAGGACTGGAAGCATTCGGAATGATCCACTTGTCACCTGCAGTCACGGTGAATAAATCAAACTCATGGTGGTTAGGAAATGTTGATATCTGTTCCTGGCTGAGTGACTGCAGTGAAATGCCCGGCCCATGTCCCTCCCCTTTCCCCTCCTACGCGACGGTTACAAAGGTGATTTTATGATATGCTTTGTTACAGTGTAACCGGGGCAAAGCGCCACCTGGGGCTGGGCTTCTTGTACTTAACTGCTACGCTGTGCCGCATTACCCCCGCGTCAACTAAATCATACTTTGTCACCTGACGCACCGACGGCGTAAGTGACGCAAACTATGTTTGGCATAGGAATAAGCAAGTATCTCCCATGAAAACTATGGCAGTACTTGCATGCATCCTTTAACATTACCTAAGTCACGAACTCACTATAATCGTTAAAACTTATTGTTGATGGTAGGCCTAGACTAGAAAATGTGAAGCGATTCCAGAATTCTTAAAGGGACCCTCCCACCTTAACATTAGATTTGAGTTGAGATAGCCAACATGGGGTCCCTGGCTGAGGGCTCACAATTACCGGTTTCGGCACTCACAACATCGAGAAATGCCTTAAATCGGAAATATTGAATTTCAAAATTGCAGCATTTTGATTCAGAGGGGCTAATGCATAGGAATACCGCTCTGAATGTGTGACGTCAGCGCAGATATCTAACGATTTTTAAATGTTTGGCTAAAACGTTTGGTAGCACGTGGTGGTATATGCTGCTTTGCGCGCAACAAATGCCGCACTTTCAAATAAAGTCCCTAGGAACAGCGGAGATCCCAAAAAGTAAACAAAAGTAAAAGTCTAATATCTTGGAAACCGGTGAATATTTTTCGATGAAATTTGGTAGATATTCGTTTTCGCTCTTTCTGAACCGAGCGATATCACTTTCATGCCAATTCATTAACTTTTTTGAAGGTGGGAGGGTCCCTTTAAAATAAAGTTTGAGCGCTCCGATCAATCCAGCTAAAGAATATTGCCACAGCAGAAATGATAAGCGAACCTTCTGAAGAACCTGTTCATTGGTCGGTAGGAACTTAACCCTCGCCCATGTAGGGGGGGGGGGTTGGTGCACCCCCCCCCCCTGAGGTTTTTCTTAGCTACGCCGAACCGTTTCAGATAGCCTGCTCAAATTTTAGTACCCTCTGGGGCATCCTTTGCGCAACTTTGGGTATTTTTTTTTGTCAAGGTCATGTCAGGTCACGGAGTTATGACGTCATAAAGGGAACAACCTCCGGCCAGATTTACGCTAAATTGGAGATTGCTTGACATTGGTATAAATGCCGACTGACCTGACACACTGATGGATTGTTTTAGAATCACAACTGGCTGATTTGACATTGGCACAATGTCCGTTGACATTTTGAAGGTTACTTATGTTCAAGGTAAGGTCAGTGACCTCGGTTGACCTGTAATGACTTCTTGCACTTGTATGCCTTTTCGGGGTATTTTGATGCCCTGAATTCGAATTTGCTATCCATTTCAGGCATCGTCGGTTGTTTCTTGTAGTTCATTTTGGGTCAGGGTCAGGTCAGTGACGTCACACGCCTGACTTGACCCAATGCACAAATGACCTTGCAGACTTCCGATGCTCCCAACGCATCATTTTTAGAGTTATGACATCGAAATGCATACCACACGATAGAGAATTGATCAAAGATCACGAAAGTGAAGGTTTCTAGTCGTTATCTCTTACCGTTTTGCCGCAATCGGCGCGGAAATATGAAAAAGCTAGATTTTTCCGAAAATTTGACCTTTGACCGGTCATAAGTAGGTCAAATGTTGACCTAGGACCAAAAAATGTACCACCAATCACAAGATCTCGTTGAGAGCAATCCGTTGGTCTTTTCCGCTAAGCTCTACGACGCTCCGTTTTCAAACGCCAGGGTGGGGGGGGGGGGGGGTCGCACCAACTGCATGGCGAAGGTGGCAAAACACCGTTTACGGGCGAGGGTTAAAAAATATGAGATATTGACGTGGGCCTCGGGGTGCGCGTTGCCCCGGTCTACTTTACAACGCACCTACTCATTTTTTATTGAAATTAGATAGGTATCAGCCCATTCTACTAGTAACACTTTTTAGTCTTTTTTAGCCTTTAGAGTAACGTGACTATCCCCTATAAGGAACTTACCGAGTACGAGAACGATCAGGCCACACTTGATCATGATGTTGAACTTGTGCATTCGGGCAGGAGTATCAGCTGTCAGAAGCCAATCAGCTTCTTCTTCTTTGCAATCTGCCGAGAACATCAGAGGATGATCAGAGGATAGGTCAACTTTAACATCACTTATTTTTTACATGTTTGCTGAGCTAATGTCTTTTGTATAAAAAGCTGCCGAAAATGACATCCCTCAGCTGACATGCATGCCTATTACTCTGTAATACACGCAAGGTTTAATTCATGTAGTTATCTCATTCTTTTATCATGAGAGTTAACATTCTATGTTATGTACATCCCTCGTTGTGCTAGAAAGGCACGGCTGTCATTCCCAGTTTCCCACTACGGTCCTATTCGTTATAACAAAACGTTTTTCCGAGCTGCAGCAAAGCCTTGGCCAGGGTTGGACTTTTGAGCATCTAAAGTTTCGGTTGGGTGTGGACAGAAACCTATGGTTTTGATAAGCCGATTGGTCTGTATTGGTTGATATTTGTTTTGCTATCGCGTGCCTGTTTCGTGATTTGTTTTGGTTGGCAATTGTAAGATATAATCTCGGTATGGAAGGGAGCTGCACTGTTGTATTGGACTTTTGTGAGCTTTGGCCGGCTATAAGTGCAGTTAGATCCGGCCGGGAGTGTTGGTCTGTACCTGTAGGTCGGTCAATACTTCAGTGCCTATATAAGTACCCGTCAGAGCTGCAATTGCAAAAGTTTTCAGGGCCATTAAGGGGTTCAGATCACTATGCAAGTGACAACTGCGTCGCCATCCACTCTGCAGTAATGCGTTCTTGATGACATGTTCAAATAGGAGCCGGCAGGAAGTTCCAAATTACGGCGCCGATGTGCATTGCACCCTGCCGCTGACGATGTTTATAGGATCTATCAAAGGGCCGCTGTAACTCACGGGAAGCTACGAGCGCTCCCGTGCCAGTGGCGCATTAAGCTCACTTACCCAATGCCAGTTAGTGCGAAATATCGGGGTACCCATCGTTGTGGGCGTTACCAATTCATGCTGCCGGGCCGGCGGGGTGCAGCAGGGCAGGGCGGGGTCCGCCTGGATGGGGGACTGCCGGATGGTTACGGACACCGATTGTCACACCGGAACGCCACCGACGAGCTAATGCAACATCCTGGCATCGAAGGGGCTCGGCGTAAAATGCATAACGAAAGAGCACGAAGAGCCTGTCCTCCTTGCTCGTGCAAAACCATTCTGAGAATGAGCTACCAAACAGCTACTTGTACTGAACTATACCGATAAAGCAGGTGTTATGAATATTTATAGCTTCATAAGAATAGACAATGGCAAATGGCCAAAGTAGTGGAATGGAACACGAACCAATGACTCCAATCATGTATGACGAATAAGTGAGTCAAGTGTTTGAAGCGTAATGAATTGAAGCCAAGTGTGGTAAACAAACTCGTCGTGTCATACATATGAATTATAAAACATAACACACTGCCACATAATTACTTTAATCACATATTTCCATGGACAACGTTATACATTTTGTATAAGTAGGTATTGGTATTTACAAGAAATGATGTTTTATGTGTTCGGTATTACATTGTTATGCGTCGAGTGACAGATAAATTCTTATGCGATAACTTAAGCGATAATTGAGAAGTTATTCTGATAGGAGAACAACTTTGAAACAGCTCTTCACTCAGTACGAATGATGCAATTGGGTCGTACAGCTGTATCAACACAGTTGACTTCGGGTCAGCGCCTTCAGACCAATAGTTACAGCGTCATAAAGCCCAGACTATGATCCCATCATCGCCCTGACCATTATCGTTAGGCGCGACGACATCGCGCATCGTGCATCGTGCACACAGGCAAGGTCCGTGCACGCACGTCAATACAGTCGGTGAGCACGTGCGGCTAACCACATGTCTGGGTCGGCATTGGAGGAAATGTTCATTCGTATAACTGGGCTCTGTTGGCCTGAATAGTGGAAGTTAGTGGCGGCCGATAGTTGGATAAGTCGCTCCAGGTGGAGACATCGCTCTGTCCTCGTGAGCGTTTGGAGGCCGATGGTGGAACATATCGACTCTCCGAGGCATCGTCAGTCCATATTTATCGCTCTGCTCGGATGGAACAGGGCGAGGTGTACCACCACTTTTTTAATGTGAGAAAATGAAATACACACAGAAAAATATTAACACCTAGCGGTGTAATTGCACAGTACATATCTGAGCACTTGAGGAAAGTTAATTTAGTCCCTTCCCCGCTTAAATTACTCGCGCTTCTAAATGAACACCAGGAAGAAGGTAATACAGGGTGACACAAAAAAAAAACGGTCATCACCAAAATTCGAATAACTTCGGAAGTTTTATTCAGATCATCACCAAACTTCGGCCACTTTAGGTCACACCTATGTAGCAGACATCCACCAAGTTTCAAGTCTTCACTACGAATACTTTTAGTACAGTGTGTGTTTTACGGACGCTCCACAATGTGCTCCAGGTGAGCGCCCCGGCGCTGCAGGGCGTAGGCACACCTGCATCCGGCGGGCAAAGTTGTCGATAACCCGATAAGAATAACGTTTCAGGGGTAGCACACCCCCTGAGCACTGTCTCCAGAGGCCATTGCACTCTGTAAAGTGCACAGCCATCGGGTTATCGACAACTTTGCCCGCCGGATGCAAGTGTGCCTACGCCCTGCAGCGCCGTGGCGCTCACCTGGAGCACATTGTGGAGCGTCAGTAAAACACACACTGTACTAAAAGTATTCGTAGTGAAGACTTGAAACTTGGTGGATGTATGCTACATAGGTGTGACCTTAAGTGGCCGAAGTTTGGTGATGATCTGAATAAAACTTCCGAAGTTATTTGAAATTTGGTGATGACCGTTTTTTTTTGTGTCACCCTGTAGAACACTGTTTTCCCATACGCCGAGATATCCCTTTAGCATTATCCTAGCCGTGCGGGAAACATTTGCACGTGATCTTTCCTGCACTGTTTTCCGGCACGGGTTGATGACCTACAGTTCTGGTGATTTTTTGATAAAACTCTTAAAAAAGGTGATTTCAATAATTAAATTGTGAGTTTCTGAATAGATATTAAACGACGTATGGGAAATATCTTACTGAACTTGCTCTGGGAAGAAAAATGGAAACCTCGGTCTTCAAAAAATATCCGGCACTCGGCTACGCCTCGTGCCTACAATTTTTTAAAGACCTCGGTTTCCATTTTTCTTTCCCAGAGCCGTTCAGTAATATATAAGGAGGGTTGGGTGTTTTGCTACATGTAGTACGCCATGGCTTGCTGGCTCATGAATAAGATACGAATCATTTGAAAAATGTGAAAAACTCACTTGTCCTGAGAACAGTCACCAAATAATATGCATAAAAACGATATAATACCCGCTTTCTTGTGAAGAATCTTGGCTCTCTCTATCGTCTGGAGGTTTCGAAAGATGCTCTCCAGAGATGGCGCTAGTAAATTTGGCTGACATGACGTCATGCTAAAAAGTGATGGTTTTTGTGAGAGCAAATGTAATAATAGTTGAAAATTTTGTACTTTTGCTTAATTAAGAAAAAATAAATATACAATTGTTCAAAACAGCGTTTTCTTCATTCATCCTTCATTGTTTTAAGAGGAATATAGACAGTTTAAATATTTTTTCTTGACCGCAATTCGCACACGCACTAAATTAAAAGCTGGAGTTTTGTGCGTTCGTAAATCGTGATTTGAGAAAATAAGTTGACAATAATCTTTTGCACTTTTGCTTTACAATCATTTTTCAATGCAGATAAATGCATAAATTATTCGAAAATAGGCATATCTTTGAAATATTATGATTTTCCACAAGCAAATTTTCCCAAAAACTTGAACTACTTACAACTGACGAACGCATCCAATAATCTGGATGTCTTAGGATGAGTTCGTCATTTTTTCCGAAGGAAATACGATACAGTTCAAGCTATTTTACCGATTTATTAGGGTACTTTTGCCAATGAATTAATAAATAAATGACAACAATTAATCTCATTATCAACCATACTCGGAAGAACTTTCTTCGCATAAGCGCGAACACATCCGCGCTTTCATGAAAAGTCACGCCTGTAGATGTCAGGACTGCTGCTTTATGTTTCGCAAGGTGGCGCAGCGCGCAGGGTACCGACTACCGAGGCTGAGGTCTCCAGACTCTCCACCACGATTTAACTTGGAAATGGCCGATGGGGAAGGTCTCACCCAAAAACGGACGCCCTTTTACACAGCTGCATAAAGAGAATGAATTATTAGCATAGCTGACCACACGTCCCCTCCCCCTCTCCGCCCCAGCTCAATAGGAAATATCGCCTATTTTCCTTAGTCAGTTATATTCTGACTAATTTCTCACTCTTCCCAGTAAACCTTAACATGCATGATGCAGATGTCCACTGCGTAAGTCGTGTGCTTTCGTAAGTGTGCCAACTATATAGTGTTGCCTGCCTACACTCTACAGTACAGCCTACTGCTTCCCCATTGTCGTTATAATTGGTGATTCTCAGGTCAAAAGTTACACAGTGGTCTCAGAGAACAATCGTTTCAACAAATTAACGATTCAAACCGTTGCATTCTACTTATATTCCGGTCAGTTCTGCTACTAAACGATTCCGGCAAAACACTCTTTAGGTTATGTATTAGCGAACCACCACACAAAATTCGCCCAATCAATGGTCAGTTATTACTGCTGGGCTGAACCGTCATACGCTATATAGCCTATTATATAGCCTAGTCAATATTTTCAGAACGATACTGACTGACGAAACACAACGTATTCGCGGATTCGCACATACGTTGGCACCCAGGTGGCCTGTCAGCAGCCGCACAAATCCGCACAGCGCAGCCGGGATTTGACATTGAGATGGTACACCGTAAAGCATGCCTTTCCACACAGGCACAAGCACAGGGACACAAATTCTCAAAATCCAAACTTATTCCAATACTGGTCAATTACGAATAGGCATAAAGTTTTGAGGTTTTCTCATGTTCATTCTTCTTTCAACACACGCGGCAGACTGCAGCAGCTGCAGAACATCTCACAGAGCTGCGCTGGATGCAGTCATGAGCTGGGACACGGTTTGTGACCAAT